GCGCTGCATGTCAATAAGTTCCAGTGTATATTTCCCCTTGTCGATGCAGGGGACCGCTTCCTTTGCTCTGGTTGATACATCCCCCTCTATTGCAACAGTGAAGGGGTCTCTGGCAAAGCCCATCATCACCTCTGTGGGCAGAGCAAGTCCATCCAATCGACCGGCAAAGTTCTCTTTCAACCTCGCAATGAAATCTGTCATCACATCCGTGATTTGTGCCGGAGATGTGATGTGTTTGGGGAGCGTCGGAAAATGCAGTATCCGACCCGTGCTCAAGTCGGTCGCGAAAAGGTCCAGCTTGACTTGGATCTGCTCCACAAGATCAATGACCGTTTTGTCTCTGTTTACGCTTCAGAGTTGAGAGAGACATGTTTTAGAGTTGCTATCATAGGACCACCGTTACTAGCTCCACTAGATGCACTTTCAAAAAAACTTGCTGCGTTGTGGTTTGGTGGTTTATATGCAACGTGGAGTGTTGCGTTCATGGTCTGTACTAGTGTAGGAATTTGGCTACGGGAGGCTGGGCAACTCGGGAGTTGGTTCTGGGCCACTCGGGAGTTGGTTCTGGGCCGCATCTGGCCCGCGGGCCGCCAGTTGAATAGGCCTGGCCTAGATGTTAGGTCCACCCCCCACTTATAAAAAAAATAGCACTTTACCCCTGCTTAATCCTATAGGATAGGCTATGCCGTGAGCTGATTATCGAGCCTTCATTGTACAGTCGCGGGCTAACTGTGTATGTGCGATGGGGAGTGTTGCAGTAGAACATTCAACTGTCTGTAGCCCGGGAGGGACATTAATGGGAAACCCTAAATGTTTGAACATCCTCTATGAAACGTGAAGCTTCCCCACAGCACCCCCAAAAGAAAATATCTGGCGCCGCCACTGATCGGCTATAGAATACATAAACAGCTGAAATCAATTTTTTCAAATCGGGGAAACTTACTTAGTTACTCTTACACCTACGTACTTTTCAGTTGGTAAAATTAAATCAGATTAAGCAAACTCATTACTCCATTAGTTATTAAATAAACGATCTTCATAATGAATTATTGCGCATGCTCATGCCCACGGGACAAAGGTTTATTGAGCAGCTTCCACGTCTGAGCCGGAGCGCAGTGTAACCAATCAGCAGCGGCCACAGAGTGTTCTGAGACAACCGACAGCCCGCCCCTTCGCTGAAGTTGCTTATACCAGACAGCAGGAAGACTTTTAGCACAAGTTTCTGTTTAGACAAAATCATTTTCGTCGTTTCTTCTATATGCAGACTGTATCAGCAGGGCTCTTTCTTTTTTGACAACTACAGTTGTAGTGAGTCGACAGTATCACCCGTAGACTACAAACTGAACGATAGTAAACATGGATGTGGAGGACACTGAACAAAAGACGATAACTCTTTTGATAAAAACGCCCAACCAAGCTCAGGAGGACCAAGCCGTGGAAGGCGTCTGTCCGAACTGGACTGTGAAGGATCTAAAAAGGCATTTGTCGATCGTTTACACAACTAAACCGGTGAGTTATTATGAAGCGGATAAGTTAGCTTGCTAATGTTAGCGAGGTGAGGCTCCTGACAGGCTGTGCTGTGGAATGTCTTGACTCTGAGTGACAGGCTGAACAGGTTAATGTGGCTGAACCTTTATACAGTCTATGGGCTGAACCGGCTGCATCAGGGCTGGGAGAAACATATATTACCTAAATACATCATTTAGAAAAGTTATGATAAAATATACTTGTATATCATTAGTGGTGGGTGATATGTGCAACATCTCATATCACAGTGTATGTCATTGTATATAATGGTTACTATATATATATATCTATGATTTCAAAACCCTTGTGTACCTTACCATATTTCATTATTTTATTTATTATTTGGAACTCCTGTTTCAAAACAGTAAAACAAGGCCAACGTTTATAGATAATAAATTACACTTGTATGTTATATACCACTTAATTATGTGTTACAAATCTATGCAGGTCTATGCACTGGATTTTTCCCGTTTACACTACTATGTAAATTTGTTTGTATGTAAATATGCCACCCTTGTAGTCTCTTCGCTCTGTTTGTGTAACTGACTAAACGTGTTTCTCTGTAGGCTACAAGTGACCAGAGACTGATCTATGGTGGTAAACTGCTGCCAGATCATCTGCCCATTAAAGACCTCTTCAGACAGGTATGTGACAGCATATGGCTCTGTTTACTGTACTTTGGCATGTGTTCTTTGGGAGAGTTTTTCACTTAATGGGCCTAATGAAAAGCGGTTGCTTCAGATATTGTGGCATATGTTTTATATTGGACTATATAACCAAAACTGACTCCACTTAGCATTCTTAGTAAAAATATTGTCTTTAAATTAAGTACGGGTGTATGAAGAACACAACAGTGTACTTCAAAGTTAATTGATTGTCAGAACAACATTTCATCTTGATTGGGCAAAATGCTGTCCAACGTAAAGGCTTGAATATAGCATTGTGATTTACCATGTAGCTTTTCTAATCAGACATTTATGTCCGTTTCTCAGACTGACTCGTTTCCCACACTGCACCTGGTGTGTGCTACTAGGACTCCGGCCCAAGGCCCCCTGGGAGCTAGACCTAAGGTAAGAGTAGTCACACTGAACTATTCTCACAAGCTCAACAGAATCTTCCCAGTTATTTTTCAAGTGGGAAGCGACGTGTCTTTTCGTGACAGCAGGTGTTTGTTCCGAGCACACAATAGATGTCATGCGTGCCCAAGGACATTTCAGCAGGAATCACACGGGTGTGTGTTGTTAGTCACTGTCAACATGACAGATTCCCTCCTTGTGTTTTTGTTAATCTGCGGGCCACACATCCATGTAATGCAGGTACAGTTGTCAGCTAAATAACACAGGTAAGAGGTCGGTGGCGGATCTAGAACAATTATTGGCTTGGCATGAAGACTTTAAGGGGTAGCAGAAATATATACATGCTTATTTAATTGCCAACATTCACATCTATCAATATGAGCTTAAAGAAATCCCTGAAATTATGATATTTTAACACAGGAACATAATATTGTTGTGGCATATGCCACCAAAAGGTGGCATTAGATCTCAATGTGTTGTTTTCTTTACTTATATACAGCCTTTTCAATGTTATTGTCTCATTCTATATCTCGTCTTGCATTAGAATACTCCCACTACTGAGTGCAACTGTTTCACTTCCGGGCTCATCTTTCAGAACACAGCTACTCTTTAGAGATACAAAGTAAAGCTTATGATACCTGGCCTTAGTTTCACAACCCTGCTCTGCTAAACCAAAGCTACACAACCTCCAAGTGCTTTTACACACTGGACCCTAAAGCTTATATCTACAGACGTATGAAAGTATATCTTCTGTAGTGCTGAGGGACATCCAATATATTGCTTACATTTGAAAAAAGTTCAAACTGTTGTTGCCTCTGCAGACCAAAGAGACGGAGCAGCCCGTTCCCCCCCGTCCTCAGTCAGGCTCTGGTCCTCCGAGTCCTTCTGGCCCCTCATCCTCAGTCCAACCCCCCAGCTCACACTCACTGAGGCAGAGGAGGCAGACCTCTTCACCTTCAGCTGCTGCAGCTCACACACCAGCCCCCTTGTCTCCACCAGCATGGCCTGCTGCTCCAGTGTAAGTCATACAAGAAGAAATGATGCATCTTCTTAACTGTATTAGATTGCATTGGCATGGCTGGACATCAACAGTTTAGGAGTATGCCAGATATGTTCAGGAAAGTTCTTTCATAACAACTATTCCCACACTATCTCTTCCTTTTAATATTTGTTCTCTTCTTCCAGGCAGTTAGTTGCTTCAACAACAAGGCCCATCTACTTGTATATAACTTGTACAATTGTTGTGAGGTGGGGTAGGTCATTTTGGAAAAACCAGCTCGAGTGTGCTTGAATTTGAAAATACACAGCCGGAAAAAATCTGCCACTTCCTTACAGAGCCCCTCCTCCAACACACACAAACGCACACATGACCAATGAGGGCACGAGATAAGTTTGTGCACAGATGGAAGGCTGACAGGCAGGTAGGCCATCCAGTTACTTAGCCGGGCCGGCTCAGATGATTGGTCGTGCTTTTTACAGTACTACGGCTTCCACAGTTGACTTTTTTTAATGGATTTTTTGTCAAAGCACTTCAGATATTCATTGCTATCGAGATGTTAAGAGTATTCCATGGAATATAACAAAAAGTGTATCTCGAGCCGGTTTCTCAAACTTACCTACCCCACCTTTAATAGTTTTTATGACATTTTTATATTTGCTCATATTTGTATATATCTTACTGTGTTTATGTAGGAAACGATATACTCCAAATCAAACTCCTTGTATTTGAAAACCATCTTGGCATAGACCATATTGTTGTTCTGGTTCTTTGACTGCTGTGTTTGGTATCGGTGTGAGCGGATGTGAACAGTGTGTTTCTCCTTCAGGCCTCCACAGATGCTCCAGCCAGCCTTCCCCACCTACTCTCTGTACAGCCCCCAGCAGCTCATGTGGCTCCAGCATGTTTACGCCAGACAGTATTACATGCAATAGTACGTTTTTATTTATACCACTTTACCATTGGTGTGAGTTATCCTTTAGCCTCAGTCTCATTGTGGATGCCTTTGTCCTGCTATGTTTCCTTTTCTTTGTGCATCATTTACAATAATAAAAAAAAAACACCCTTCAAATCTCCAGAGCTACAGAGCTTCATAAATTGTGCTCCGTAGTATCATTTCACGATTAATGGTTTCTCATGTAACTGTCTCCTGACATTTTTATATTAATGTTGGGGTCATATTTGATTAGCATTTTATATTTTGAAGTGGAGGTCCTTCCTTTTTTACAATTTTGCCAAATCAACTTCTTAAAAACTAATGACCAGATCTACTATCTAGTTAGGTGTCTTATTTTTACAGTATATTGAAAGAGTCTCTCTGAGAGACACATTTAAAGCATTATCTAGGGAGCTGGTGTAAACCTTCTAAAGTGTATCCCTTCTATAATATATTAATTTAACTAATTAATTCAGAATTAAATATATATATTTGTTTTTTTATGCAAGATCTAAACATTGTTCTTCTGCATCTTCTACACAGGTTCTTTTAATTTATCTGTTCTTTCTAAATGTTTTGTAGCTGTTGTTCATTGTTCTCAGCTTATTATGAATATAATATTCTACTCTTCCCCCTTCCAGTTTCTAACCCTCCTTATGTTTACCTCACACTGACAGCCATGCAGCGCTGGCCGCAGCAGGCACTCTACCATCAGCACCAGCTACAACCATTGGCCAGTACCCTCCTGTTCCCGCCCACCAGGTACCTGTCCCAGCCCCATTGGCCAATCAGAACCCCATCGAAAACCTGCCTGCCAATCAGAACCCAGTGCAGGACGGTGCTTTCATCAACCCTGGGGAGGCCAACCAGAACATGAGGATGAACGCGCAGGGGGGGCCGGTGATGGAGGACGAGGACGACGTGGAGCGTGATTGGCTGGACTGGATGTACTGCGCTGCCAGATTTGGCGTTCTGCTCATGATTGTGTACTTCAACTCCAACCTGAGCCGCTTCCTGCTGGTGATGAGCACCCTGCTCCTCATGTACCTGTAAGTTCCACCCGTCCCTTTCTACTTCAACTTTTACATTTTCAGGTCCATTCTGGCTCATATGCTTTCCCTGCACTCTTGTGGGTCTACAAACGTCCTTTAAATCCCTCCAGTGTGGGGCTCTGAACCTCAGTGGCTCTTATCATCTGCTGCTGTTGGCTTCCAGAGCCTCCTCCAAAAGCATCAACTCCATCTTCATATTCATATTTTAATCAATGGCCTAATAGGAAGTAGGGATCTTTGAGTTGTCAACTGAAGCCTGTATGTATTCCATTTAAAAAAAGAAGAAGAAGAAAAGACTATTAAATAATTAGGGTATATTTAGTGTTGTAGTCAAGACCACCTTAACCGAGACCAAGTCAAGACCAAGACCGGAGTGTGCCAAGACCAAAACTTCAAGAGGTCGAGACCGAGTCAAGACCAAGGCAGGGCGAGGCTACTGTGAATCCAACACTACACGATACACTTACAATACCATGTGTTATACCTCATTCACACCAATGGTGTTTCAGGGCCGTTTCGGAGCTGGAGCTTGAAAAGCACCGGGTTTTCCTGTTCAGACCGCAGCGGAGCAGCCTCTTAGCTCCGGAATCCGGAGCACCAAAAAATTGTCCGGCCAGAGCAAAAGCACAACATACGTCACGCTTACGTCGAGGCGGGGGCAGGGGCAGGGGGCGGGATCAACTCCTGAACAACAACAAAAAGCCTGCATTTTATCCAGTTTGTATACAACGATGGAGAAACTTAACAAGAGTTTCAGAGTCTCAGTGTTTCTGCCATAGACTGTATGTAGTGGGGCAAAAAAGTATTTAGTCAGCAACCAATTGTGCAAGTTCTCCCACTTAAAAAGATGAGAGAGGCCTGTAATTTTCATCCTAGGTACACTTCAACTATGAGAGACAAAATGAGAAAAAGAAATACAGAAAATCACATTGTCTGATTTTTAAAGAATTTATTTGCAAATTATGGTGGAAAGACACCTGTCCACAACCTCAAACAGTCACACTCCAAACTCCACTATGGCCAAGACCAAAGAGCTGTCAAAGGACACCAGAAACAAAATTGTAGACCTGCACCAGGCTGGGAAGACTGAATCTGCAATAGGTAAGCAGCTTGGTGTGAAGAAATCAACTGTGGGAGCAATTATTAGAAAATGGAAGACATTCAAGACCACTGATAATCTCCCTCGATCTGGGGCTCCACGCAAGATCTCACCCCGTGGGGTAAAAAACATCACTGCTCTAGAGGAGATCTGCATGGAGGAATGGGCAAAAATACCAGCAACAGTGTGTGAAAACCTTGTGAAGACTTACAGAAAACGTTTGACCTCTGTCATTGCCAACAAAGGGTATATAACAAAGTATTGAGATGAACTTTTTTTATTGACCAAATACTTGTTTTCCACCATAATTTGCAAATAAATTCTTTAAAAATCAGACAATGTGATTTTCTGGATTTTTTTTTCTTCTCATTTTGTCTCTCATAGTTGAGGTATACCTAGGATGAAAATTACAGGCCTCTCATCTTTTTAAGTGGGAGAACTTGCACAATTGGTGGCTGACTAAATACTTTTTT